TGGGCAGGGGTAGCGAGCGGTCATCACTTGACCAGATGCAGTTGTAGTCGTTGAAGATTCGCGAAGCATTGATCTCGTTCCGCTGGCGAAGCCTCGTCTCTTGTAAAAACACGATTGAAGGCTTGTTGAGCAGACGTTTGATCTCAGCAGGACGCTGATCGTCGATCCCGAGGGTTCGGACGTTCAGCGTCGCAATGGAGAAAACTTTGGCGGGTTTCAAGAGCGGTTGGCCGGGTCGGGCGCCCCACCTCCGCTCGTGACCGAGGCAGCCGTACTTGCACCGGCTGCCCCTGCAACGAGGGAGGCGGTCGCTCCTCCCGGGGTACCCGCCGAGCTTTTGTTTCCCAGCAGGTCGCTCACGTCTGCCAGATTTGCATCTTGGTTGGCCCTGTTTGCGTTCTCCTTGTCCACCGCCATGGAGAGCAGGGCTCCTTTCCCTTTGGATGGGGCGTTAGGAACCTTCGATTTGTCGCATTGATGGGTTGGGTGCTTCTTGGTGTGGCAAACGGCGCAGCTCTTGACCCTCGGGCAGTCGACTCGGGCGTGGGGCTCTTTGAGGTAGATCACACAGTGCTCCTTGATGTGATCGCACTTCAGCCTGAGCTCTTCGCTTCCGATGGTGATGAGCGGTTCGAATCGTTTGCCAATCAGCTCCATCTCTTCGGAGGTGACTCGCAGGTCGATCTTGATCTCGCCATTTTTCATTCGTTGCTTCGCCCCCGGTAGCAGGGGCCAGTACGAATGGCGTGGCGAGCCGACTCGGTCGATGTTGATTTGTCCTTATTTCGCGATTGCGTTCCGGATTGCTTGTTCGTCGACCTTGGCTGTGTTGCCTGTCAGAGAGATGGTAAAGCCCTCGACAGCCATTTCCAGATCGTAGCTTTGTCCGTTGATCTCGACGAGCTCGTTCACCATCTTGTTCGCATGCTCCTCGGATTCGAAGACCAAGTTGATGCGCCCAAGCTTGGCGGAGATCTCGACGATTTCCACCTCGTACTTTGTGTTTGCGATTCCTTGGATCCGCTGCGCAAACTTTTTCAATTCAGCTTGCGTGGTGGGTCGCGGGAACTGCGGGAGGATGAGGACGTTGTTGTGTGCGCGCGATGCTTTGATTCGCGCTTGGAGCTCGTTTTCCTTGCGCTGCTTGTGCTGTGTCCGGCTAGCGCTCGCCTCAATGTCGACATTGGGGCTGAGCTCGTTCACTTCAGTCTCGTCGATGTTGCCATCCTCGCGGAAACGCTTCCTGGCACTGCTGCCATCTTCGCCGCTGGGCGCGGATGACGACGAGGCTGCCGGCGTCGCCTGCCGCTGGGGCTGCGGCTGCACGCGCTGCGGTTGCTGGCTACCCTGCGACTGGGCCTGCTGGGTTGCGTGGACTGGCTGGAAGGCGGAGGAGCGGTGGGAGGACGCCGCTCCTTCGCTGCTCGCAGTTTGCATCAGCTGCGTTAGCGTGGCCCCCACTATCTCAGCGTAGGAGATTTCGCCGGTGCGCATCGGGGATGGGCCACGCGTCGGGGGGCGGGGCTCGTCCTCGGCACTAGGGCCGGGCGGGGGAAGCTGGGCAGAGCTCGCAGAGGCGGTTGTCGAGTCCAGTACCGCCAGGCCCGAGGAGCCCACCAAGTTGGGGGGCGTCGGCGGACGGGAAACCGTAGGCGTCGGCTGAGCCCTCGGGCCGTTCAGCAGCGCCATTCCGTCCGGGACCGCGATCTGGTGGTCTTGGGTGGGCAGCGAGTCGTTCTGTCCACTCGACGCGCCAGCACCTCCGTTGCCCCCCATGAAAGCCTCCAGCGTGGACTGGACCGCCCCGGGTTTCGAAGGGTTGCTGCCCCTGCGCCCCACGAGGGCCTTGGTCGCCGTGTTGGCGTTCTTGGTTGCTCCGTCGTTGCTGACACCGCTCATGATTGCTCTTGCTTTGCTCAAAAAAAGAAGACTTTCGAAACCAATTGAAACAAGAATAAGAGAAGAATGCCTTCAAATGCTTTTAATACGCTAGCACTCCAAAAGACTTTAACTCGTAATTCACTTCTATCAAACAAACATACACCTTCGCCAACTTAATTTTTACTTTTACAACATATGATCTCAAGTCAGACAAGAGTACTCGGTGAATTTAAGCATATTAATCAACCGAAGGAAAAGAAACTAACTAGGATTCCTTTAGTAACGGCGAGTGAAACAGGAAAAGCTCAAATTTAAAATCTCCGCGGCTCCCGCGGCGAGTTGTAATCTCGAGAGGCGTTTTCTAGGCCAACCCCGGTACAAGTCCGTTGGAAAACGGCATCAGTGAGGGTGAGAATCCCGTTCATGACTGGGTGCACATTTGGTCTTCCACGATACGTCTTCAAAGAGTCGGGTTGTTTGGGAATGCAGCCCAAAATGGGTGGTAAATTTCATCTAAAGCTAAATAGCGACACGAGACCGATAGCGAACAAGTACCGCGAGGGAAAGATGAAAAGAACTTTGAAAAGAGAGTTAAACAGTACGTGAAACCGTTAAAAGGGAAGCGATTGAAGCTAGCATTTGCGTTGCGTGAAATCAGTCGTAAGACTGCCGAACTGTGCGTTGTGCGGTGAGCCAAAAGCCACGGCGGCGTATTGAGGTGAGGTGTCTTGCGGTGCACTTTTACGTAGCTTTGAGCAGGTCAGCATCGGTTTGGTTTACTTTGTGCAGCAAACGGCGTGCTGGGAAGGTGAGTTTACTGTCGGTTCGCTGACTTTGAACTGTTATAGCCCAGTGTCTGCCCGCTGCGCCCCAGACCGAGGTGGTTGCGGCATGTGTTCTCTTCGGAGGGCTAGCCTCCCTGTTCAATGGCTGTTCGTGTTGGATTTATTGCTAAACGGCAATGTGTTTGACATTTGCAGTGGTCATTGGGTGGGGTTGTGTATACGTGAATGCCTAGGATGCTGACGAAATGGCTTTAACCGACCCGTCTTGAAACACGGACCAAGGAGTCTAACATGTACGCGAGTCTTTGGGTGGCAAACCCATCGGCGCAATGAAAGTGAAGGCAAGTTCGGCTTGCTGAGGTGAGAGCTTCGTTCTCGGACGTTGTGCATCATCGACCGGTCTAGAGATTTATCAAAAGATCTGAGTAAGAGCGTACCTGCTGGGACCCG